ACTAATGAAGAGCCAGGGAAGAAAAAAATACTCCTGGAAATAAATTTTTACTGATAAAATCATTCAGATTAATTTTTTCCTACTAGGTTTAAAGAAAATATCAGTTTACTGAAGTGTCAGTTTTCTAAAATGTGGGCCAACAGATACCTGCAGGTCAAACTCTGACAGAAATATATGTTTAGAGCTTTCCTCTCTGTTACACTCCTCATTACTAGGAGACATGCAAGGTGGGAGTTCCCCACTGAATACGTTCAAAAGCACAGGTTCTAAATAAGAAATTCCATGTTCAGCAGAATAGTCAGTGGTTTTTCATCACTGGATGCTGATAACCCATCCAAACCTGCCTGTCTCCTTAAAGGACCCTCAATGAGATGAAGGTGTTTCATGATACATTTTTTTTGCAAGCTTGTAATGTATTATTTATCAATGTAGCTCCTTCCAAATATTAATAATACATGTTCTCCTATTTCTGCTGTGAAATCTTTTTTTTTCTCCAGCTTTACTAAGTTCAGAAAATAAATTTAAACTTTATCCTGTGAAATATTAGGTGATCTATAGCATGGCTTCTTTGGCATAAGTCCTTTGCAAAACTGTGGTCCTGATTATGTGACACAAAAACATTAACGCTGCAGCAGTTTGTGTCCTTTCTTCCAGTCTTCACTTCCTCCCCTTGCTGACCAACGACGAGCAGTGGGATACTGGAGGTCTCAATCCCAGCAGCACCCAGGGGTCCTGACCTCTTGCCAGGCCTGAACTTGGCACCAACATTGACTGGATTCTAAAGACTTATTTTTCACATAAACTAAAATTCTTCACAAGTATCCTTTTAGCTATGGTAGTCAAGCAAATGGCAAACTCCTTTTCCTGGCAGGTAATTAGTCCAAATCATTGCAATGCTTTCAAGGAAAAAAAAAATGAATAATACAGTTGTTATGTTTGAAATATAATTCATGCTCTACTTTTTCTCAGTTATTTAGTTTAGCTGTAATTAGCCTAGCACCTCTGTGAATTTCAGGCACACTACACATCATCTCATGCTGTGTAACCAAACAAAGCTGACTAAGTAAATCTACATTGATCAAAACTGTTGCCTCTAACACATGAAAAAAAAAAAAAAAACCAAACAAAAAACCCCAAAAAAACCCAAAAAAACCAACACGTGACCAATACTCTGGAGTTCCCACACTGACATGTTAAGTGTTTGTTATTTTCACTATCAACACAAACCTCCAATCTTATTCTCATCTGTTTTGTTGAGCATCACTGCTGTAATTTGTCTTTTGTGACATTTGATATTATAGAAAGAAAAGGTTTTCAACCTTACTAGCATGCAAAGTACAGGACAAGCTTGGTCTCTTGTGTGTGATTTATTTTGTTTCTTCATAGCAGCAATTGTGCAAAGATGTCATAACTGCAATTCATGCATTAAATGAGACCTGGAGGCTATCTTCTTCAAAGAGGATGATATATTCCATGGTTTCTCTGTGTCATGAAAGCCATCTGACATTATGCGAAAATTGTGCATTTTTGCACCACCACAGCAGATGAAAGCATACAACAAAATATAAAATACTAAGGCCCCTAACAACAAAGGAAGTAAAACATACAACTGAAAACCAGAATGGGAGTGAGCACTGGGCACATGAAGCTTGCCGATGTACTGAGTTTTCAGTCTCCAGACAGTTAGATTATTTCCTGTTGTACCCATGGTACCCTTCCAAGAGCTGAAAAGGAAGCTGAAAGGAAGGGGCAGACTGCAATTGTGGGCAGTTTAACAAGCACTGAGGATGAAGGCAGTAAGAATGATGGTACGAAGAGGCCCTCTGGGATGATATGCTTATTGATCAGGTTTGGAGCATCCCACAAGTGCTTTGACAGCATGTCATGAAACTAAAGGACATATCATGTGAGGTCTGATAAAATAAAAAAGTCTTAGGATTGAAATTTAGGCTAGCAAATGAAACCTGAAGATTAGGACGTTGATAGTAGCATAGTTTGAACTAGTCTCACCATGTACAATCAGGAGAAAAAGATTGAAAGGTAGAGCTTTAAATGCCTGGCTGAGAAAACGTGGTGAGGAGAAGTGAGTCACAATATTAGAATGTTGGAGCACTTGTTAAAGAAAAGGAAAAATGGCAAAATTCCTTTTGGCCATGAGAAAAATAGGCTTATGAAAGTTTAAAAACTTTTCTATGACCATTGTGATACCAAGTGAAAGGTTCAGGAGAATTTTCAGGTGTTGGAAAGCATAAAATTAGAAAAAAAAAAAAAAAAAAAAAAAAAAAAAAAAAAAAAGCAAAGGTATGCAGTTCAGACAAAGGGTGAAGTTATGAGAATTCTGCATTCTTCACTGGAGAATGCTACAAAAAGAGATGACAGACAGCCCAGTAGGAATTGCAGAAGTGGTAGCTCATGCAGAATCAAACTAGGGACCAGTAAAGATGAGAAAGAAAGCCATAATACAAAGCCAAGGGTTAAAATGGGACCTAGTTACCCTAGTAGAGGTAACTTTAATGCTTAATGCTAAAGAAGAATATCAGCATTATACCTGTGTTCAATATCTGTGGGAAAGAAGAAAATCAGTCAGGCAGCATAGCATCAAGGAGCAAAGTACGCAGGAAAGTCACAGCAGACTTTGTCCGTGGAGGAATAATGATGCTTGTGAAAGGAATCTTTGTCAACTAAGACTTAAAAAGAGGACAGTATTAACATTGGGTATTCAGGAAAAGTTCCCTAGTTATTCTACACTTTACAACAACTATAATTAGCTTAAATGCAATACTTGTGCAAGAGCAATAAAAACTAGAATTACAAGATGGTTGTATTCAATTAAATAAATAAAAATATGAAAGTGTAAATAAATAAAACTGAGGCATATTACTATAGAAATTCTGAATGGGATAGCTAAGACTGTTAAATCACTATGGGTGGTGTGGATACTATCTAGGGATATAATTTAGAAGACCCACAGCAAATGCACATATCCATTAAAAGGAAAATCTGTAAGGGCAAACAACATAGCTAATAAAAGAAAGAACACATCTTTCAAAAAAATGAAGTTATATCTCAGAGAGGACAATAGAAAGAACCATAAAACCTGCTTTATCTATAAAACCACAATAAAGAAGACAAAAAATGAGTTTGAATAAATCTCTGTAAAGAAGCTAATAATAATTGTCTTTTAAGACATCTGGAAAAAAAAGCCTAAGAGGAACTGTATAAAGCCAGCCCAACACTGAAATACATAAGTGCTCAGAGAAGATAATATCACAAACGTAAAACTTACTATATTTTTTTCTTTATTGTTAGTGTAGAAAAAAACCTGAGGAGGATTTTTTTTTTTTTTTTTTTAGTCCTAGAACTTTATAGGGGACTCAGAAGAAGGTTAAATTAGCTATAGAAGCAGTTGTGGAACAAAGAGACACAACAGTAACAAATCATTTGGATTAGCTGTTACATGCCAAGAGCCTGAGGAATGAAATAAGGGAACTATTATGATGTGCAATATTTTGCTTCAAACCACTGTGGCAAAAGAAGGTTTGGAGGTATAATATAACTCTGATTTTTTTTTTTTCCCCAGAAGTTCTCCAGGGAGTCCAGGGGAGATAAGGGTGGATATGACTGACATGTACAGGCAAAACTGTAGGCAAAACAGTTGGAGCAGATTTACTCAATTCAGAGGGAATTTCCCATTCTGAAAAATAAGAAATCAACACAGCTTCTCTAAATAAAGCTGATATTTTGCAGTGCTTTCTGAATTCTTTGAAGAGGTTAACATGCAGGCAATTATGTGAAGATGGATTAAAAACAAATGAGGGGAAGCTGTTAGTTGTATGATATATATTAATCTGTGTACCTCTGACAGAGGTTGTGGACTCTGAAATTTAACATAAATTTCAAAGCAATGGGGCAAAATGCTGCAAGAAAAATACATTGCAGGTTGTTAAATATAAAGACATTAGAACTAAGTACAATTCGAAAGTAAGGAAGTTTTATGAAGTATTGCTTGGCTTGTTTTGTAGATACCATTTAGACATGAGTGTAAGAGACAGAAGGAATGACCAAATGCATCCTTCTCGTAACATGATTTTTCTTACATGCTTGCAAAAACACAATTTTTTTTCATACTGAGTAAAAGAAGAATAATTTTTATATGAGAAAAAACTTCACAGTTGCGGATGTGGTTTTGTACCTATGGAGTATTCACGATACATATAGTGGGATTTCAATTCATAGGCAAGAAAGAGATGCAAAGTAAAAAGCTGCCATGATCTTACTGCAGATTCATGCAATATATTCTAATATGAATTAGCCTTACTAACGAATTTTAGCAACTAATTATTTTGGCATAGTTATCAAGATATATGCTTGATTAGTTTCTGCATTTTGAAGGTCCGGAATATACTAAACTTCAGTAAATTTATGGAGACAAGTGACAATCCTCCTAATCATACACAGACTATGAAACTCTTTAAATTAGCATAATTCTGAAAAGCTTCATTTAAACTAACTGATGTGAAACATAATAAATTATCAGTGAATGATCACTGTTTTGAGGCTGTATGTGTTTTCAGGGATAGATATCATCTTCTGTGCCAAGACATCTAAAAATCTGTTCCTGAATATCATATCAGTAATGCTTAGCATGAGCCAGCTCTGCCTTTGGTACTTGGAAGTCTCAGGTAATAACCTTTTGTAATTTGAAGGAGTTCATGCAGTTTCCCTTGACAAAATAGCATTTCCCAAATAATTATTATAGTGTAAATGAAAGGAACTCAGGCTCAGGCTAGTTTTGTGGAATGATGGTACATATCCTCTTAAACATTCAACTCATACTTTCAAATTGAGCTTTATATTATTTTTAAAAAACAGGATGTCTGATTTTTTTCATCGTATACTGTTCTTTTCCCAGGATCTCAATTTCTTATCTACAGGATTTTTCCAAATTAATACTTTTAGTCATGCTTATTTGAAAATCAGTACTTTGGAATATTACATACTCTTAGGAAATCTGGGTGGGTTGTCGTTGACATCCGTGAGAGTAATGTTTACAGTGGTAGTACCAGCTAGTCCTCCCAGCTGTCCTCCCATGTCCTTGGCTTGGATTAGAACTTGATATTGTTCTTTCACTTCTCTGTCCATATTTGGCAAAGCTGTTCTTATTACACCTATGAGAAGAAATGGGAAAGAAAAGGAGCAAATAAAAAAAGGGCTGTGACTGTCTATTCCTACAAATTAATATCGGATCTCGAACGAGGAACAGAATTCTTCTGAATGGTTTGATGAGAGGAGGTCACATGAAAACATGCAAATCACTCAGGCTTTTCAAAAGTGTTTCTCAGCTATTCAATCACTCAAAATGACTGTTTTGTCTTTTCAATGAGGTTATGAATGGATGAAAGAGAATGATGCATTTTCACTTGGGATGTGAATGCTGTGATCATAGGTTTGCCACATCAGGGATGAGGAACACTTATACAGAGTAAGGGAATGTGGAAAGAGGTGGCATTGCATTGCAGAGCCTGCATCTTCAATTCTTTCCAACCATTCACTTAATAATAATTTCAAGTTACTGCAGGCCAAGACAATGTTCCTCTGTACAAAAGGAGGTCTTTATTAGAAGACACTTCCTTTCCTAGAGAAAGTTTTCTTGATATAGCACAAATATGCAGTGAAAATTTGGGACATTTCTTTTAAAAAAGGAATTAAATATCACAGTAAGACATTGCTTTGAGTCTTTAGTGATTTTGGATAGCTGCTATCTAAGCAGATGTGCCATAATCTCCCTTTGGATATGCTAAGAATATATAGAATTAAAAGGAAAACATGGAGAGTGAAAGAGGGGGAGAGAAAGGGAGAGGTACTACTGAACACACAGATTAACTAATGAGGTTGTATAAAGCTAAAAGGTTTGGGGTACTAAAGACTTTTTCTTGCAATCAAATATGTAGGTGGAAATACATGCCTTCATCAAAATTTTACAAATACAAATAGCATTGCAAAATTTATTTATGTTATTTATTCAACAGTTATCAGAAAATGCCTAGGCACATTGGTGCAGATAACATGCAAAATTGAAAAATAAACCAATAGTAAGTATGTCCTTCCTGGTTATTATTGATTTAGAAAGTATTATTTTCTAGTATTAAACATTTTGATGTCAAAAGCAGGTTTTTACCTGGCGTTAAAATGAGTCTGGAATGGCAAGAAGCAAACTTCAAGGACCATTCTTATCTTTATAGCAGTTAACCACTGCTGTCTTAACAAGCCAGAATAGGAATCATTAGCTTATAATACTTTTTCAGAGTCTAGAAATAACGTTGACCTAAATCTGCTATTTCTGGAACCTATTAAAAATTCCCATTGAATTGAACTCCATAAAAATATCCTTTCTAGCCACCTGTAACATGATGATAAGGACAATATTAGGTATCACCATTTTCCTGCCTCAGGATGGCACATAGTATACTGCTTGCAGTTTGCTTCAAATTGAAATATTGAAATTTAAAACTGAAAAAAATTTGTTCATATTCATGAGATTCAGAAAAAGTATATTTTTGCAAAGAGGATGAACCTTACAGGTTTCCTCTTGATTCTCTTAAACTTAATTAATGCTTATTTTGGCATATATTTTGTGGAGGCTATATGTTCCACAGTATTTTACAACAACCTTTGTATGTTCATTCCAAGGAGAAAAGACCTATGGGAATGAAAGCCCTCTTGTGTCATACTAACAAAATTAAATATGAGAATTACAGAATCAAACTATGCTAAGTTGGAAGCCACCCATCAGGATCATTGTGTTCAACTCCTGTCCGTGCAAGACACCACAGGAGACAGACACCCCAAGGACACCCCACATACCTGAGAATGTTTGTACAAATGCTTAATGAACTCTGTCACACTGAAACTGTGATCACTTCCCTGAGAAGCTGTTCCAGTGCCCAACCACCCTCTGGGTGAAAAACCTTTCTCTGATATCAAACCTAAACCTCCCCTGACTCAGCTTTATGACATTTCCTCGAGTCCTGTCACTGGTCAGGAGAGAGATCAGTATCTGCCCCTCCTCTTCCACTCACAAGAATGTGAGAATGTGTGTCTCACAATGAGACTTCCAATCAGTCTCCCCTTCTCCAGGCTCAATGCACCAAGTGACCTCAGTCCCTCTTCATATGGCTTCCCCTCAAGGCCCTTCACCATCTTCGTGACCTTTCTTTGGATGCTCTCTAGGAGCTCTCATGGGTCTTTTTTATATTATGGCACCCAAAACTGCTGCCAGCACTTGAGGTGAGGCTGCCCCAGTGCAGAGCAGAGCGGGACAATCTTCTTCCTTGCCTGGCTGACAATCCTGTGCCTGATGCACCCCAGAACATGGCTGGCCCTCCTGGCTGCCAGGACACAATGACTCAGACTCAACTGGCCATTGTCCCGGACATCCAGGTTCCTTTCCACAGTGCTACTTTCCAGCCCCTCATTCCCCAGTTTATACACAACCAGGGTATAGACCGAAGAATCTGGTGCTTGTCTTTGTTAAGCTTCTTATGTTTGGTGACTGCCCAGCTCTCTATTTTGTCAAAAATCTGCAGGACCTCCCTGACCCAAGAGAGTAGACAGCTCCTCCCAATTGTGTGTCATCAGCAAACTCACATAGTGTTCCTTGCAGTTCTGTGTCCAAATCATTTATGAGGATGTTGAAGAACACTGTGTTGAGGATGGAACTTGGCAGACCCCCCACTAGTGCCAGGTCACCACTCTGATCACCCCATCACTCAGGTCACCCATTCACTACAACTCTTTGTGCCTGACCTGTGAGCCAGTTGCTCACCCATGACATGATGTGGTGTTTACCCAGCTGTGTGCTGGACGTTTTGTCCAGAAGGATCCTGTGTGAGATGGTATCAAATGATTTGCTGAAGTTAAAAAAGATGACAGAAAAAACTAAACATGGGCACACAGCAGATTGTGAAGAGAAAATGCAGTTTATCTGGTTGATATAGGTGTTCTGGGTACAACTAAGTGACTTTCTCAGAAATTCCAGGGGTTTTTCAGAATATGAAGAATGGGCTATCACTCCAGTAGTAAAGTTTCAAATCACCCACTGTTTATTCCTGTCTGGAAGTGTAAGGTCATTCTATATATTTTTCTGGAAAAAAAAAACTTTTATCTTTAGAAAAAAAAATCTATCAAAATAATTTTTATGTCTAGGAATTCATGGGCAATTTTTTTTTCTGCCTACTCTATTTCAAAGGCTTATACAAAATACTGAGAAATATTACTTCTTCCAAAATCAGTTCATATGGACAGGACAAATGTGTATTAGAGTTATCTTACCAGCAAAAGAGAAGAATAAAGTAGAGGTAAGGATCCACGGGAAGGAAAGGGCTACAAATGCTGGTATTTCATTTACAGCATCACAAAGAATATCTAAATTTAAATCAAAGCATTATTAACATGTAGAGGCCTTATGTGCATGTGATGGTGTTCCGAGTTTTTGTAAATCATTTTACATTAAGATTTTACAATATTGTTCAACTGCAGAAGTGAATAACATTGATTTTCTTTTTTTGTCTTTTCAGATGTCATCAATATCAAAAGTGTAGAAAAATATGGTCTCCATGAGATTGCTGAAAACTGAAAATAGTATGTATGGTACTTGGGCCATAAGATTTTCTTTCCAAAGTTATTGACCCATAATTCAGCACGAGATCACTCCCTTTTGTGGAAAAGAAAACACAGATTCCAAGAAAAATCTCCTGCATAAATGTTAACATCAATACTCCTGCTGATACCAATTTGGATTTCAATAATATAACTGAAGTCAGAAGATGGACTAGAATGCAAAGTCTAACAAAACCTGGTAACATCTAGCCATAAATAAGAATATTGACCTCAAAAACATATCAGAAAATTGGGTAGAAAGGACATTTTTATGGTGGAAATGTACATTTTTATAAGAAAAGAGAATATACAGAGGAAAGAGAAGAGAGGTAATCTGTTTTAAGAGAAATTCTCATGTTAAAAACTCCTCACATTGAAATCAGGAGAGAAATTTTATAGCATTTAAAAGTACCCCTGACATACAAGGCTTGAGGCCTTACATTGTGGCATTCAAACAGTTGCTCTCCAGATGGTACTGTACTTCATGTAACCTCCCTGAAGTATAAATAAAAGCTAACTCTCCTGTTTCCACGTAGTTTGCTTATCTCCAACAAAAAGATGGAAAAAGATTAGGAGGTCAATAAAGACAAGGAGTAAAAGGGGCAGCTGTGACATTCAGACCCATAGAGGTTGAAAACTATTTAAGTGTACTAGTTTCATATCAGAGTAAATGTGTAACACCTCTTAGGAGTGATTTGAGGAAAGAGTATGTGCTAAGTCATGTGCTTGACAAACACAACCTTTATTTCACACATAAAGTTATGGTCAGCGGTTTCTCTGTTACTGCTTTGCAATGGGATCTTGAGCTAGCAACAGAAATTTCCACAAGCATTTCAAGATCTGTGCCGTAGAAGCTAAAGACACAAACAATGTTGGGAACTGTTTTGGAAGGAATAGAGAACAGAAGTGTGGTTAAACAGCTCTATACATCTATATCAGCTGCCTTCCTGAATACTGTGTGCACTTTCTCACTCTGAGGAGGAGAAGGATGATTATTGGTATGGAATGGCATCTGAATAAAGAAGTCTTCAATCTGGAAAGAGTCATTTGAGGGAGAATATAAATAGAAATTAACTATTCACTGTCTTATGTAATGTGTGAGATATGAAACAAGTTAAGAGATGCCCCTATTTAAAAAAAAAAAGAGCAAGAGGAGCAGGTTCTTAACCAAATAAACTTTTGCTGTGGAATTTCTAGTTGGTGGGTATGGAGCTGCTGTACCCCTGGACAAGTCAAATATACTGGAAGTGGAAAAGTTGTGAAGGAGAAATACTTTCAGACTTTTAGTTACTTTGACCCTGCTAGTCACCCAGGAACTTTGAAAGGACAAATTCTTTCAAGACTAGAAATGTATTTCAGGGATACATCACTAAACACGTTTCATCCGTCACTAGAGTTAAGCAGGCCATCACTTTTGGAAACATGACACAGGGTAGAAACTTAGCATAGATGTTCCTGTGTTCTTTAAATAACTACAAGATTATGTCTCAAAATTGTTTTGGAATGCAAGAGATGGCAAAACAAGCCAGCAACAACACAAAAAATGCTTATTAATCTGCTGGGGTGTTCTGAGTTTGTCATTGTACCAAAATGACTTTTTTCCCCTTTCCTGTCAAAATCACTCAGGACAGATTTCTGCAGTAAAACTCTGCAGTCAAAAACTACTGTATAAACTCCTCAGTTATAAAATAAAGAATTTTAAACAGCAGATCTGTAGCACTGCCCTGGACTTCTGGATTTTAGACCAAATCCTTAGGCATCATCCTGTGCAATGTTATTCACATACTGTTTACCTCTAAAGTCACTGTTAGACCCATGAGTCCTGGACTTCTGGATTTTAGACCAAATCCTTAGGCATCATCCTGTGCAATGTTATAATATGTCATAATTGTCATAATAATATGTCAATTGTCATAATATGAACTTCCTAACATATGACATGTTACAGCATATTATTGATGCTTGTAGAAGCATGAATCTATATGCTTTTTTTCTGGTATAGGATTTTAAACTACGCTGGCCTACTGTTTCACCAATCTTCCTCTACAGCTGTGTCCATTCTTTTAGCACATGAAATTCATTTAAGGTAATAGCCAGGTTTGTATGATGTTCCAGGGCTTGTAGGGTGCAGGCCATCACCTATGGTTGACTCACTATTGAGTAGCACATGAGAACATATGACACAGCCATTTAAAGGGCCATGGAAGAAATAGTTCTTCTTCCATGTGCTACTCTTTTTTTCTTGTGAAACTTGTACTAAAACTCTAATTTTGGCTCCAGTAAATCTTTTTCTTGCCACTGAATTTATACCCATTCTTTACAAAACTGAAATGAAAAATAAAATATAAAGGCAACTACTTTTTTTTTCCAGACACCCGAAGAAGTCCTATTTCAGTTTGAAAAATAAAATTGCTCACTGCAAACTGCAGTATGATTTCCTGCTAAATGGAGCATGGAGAAAAGGAATGTGTACATTGGAGATGGTGCTTTCACAGCCTTTCAAAGCTCCACCATCATGGCTATAGGCCCTGAATCTGACATTCAAGTACAGCTACATTGGAAGGCGATACTATTTGCTGAAAGGAGCATATGGATAGCTTTCCCTGTAGCACACTCAGGATGCCACAATGTGTGTCATTCACCATGTACGTTATCGCTTCCTCAACTGAATTACTAAATATAGAATCAAGAATGACATTTAGAAATATAGGACAAGATACCCAATTTACATGTCTACCAACCTCCCAAATACTTCAGTCTCTTTAAACATATTATCTTTTTCTGCTCACACATCCAGTAACCCCAAAGATAATATGCCCCAGGAAAAGAGGAGGGAATGAGACAATTACCTGTTCCACAGTCTCAACTTAGTTCAACATAACAAAACAATAATTGCTGGAGAATTTCTGACTGTAGGTTCAGCAAGTAAAAATGCTGAGAAGACCCAAGTTGAAATACTCACTCATCAGGGAAAAAAAAAAATAAGGATGCATGTAGAAGACAAAGCTTTATCTTAGGGAAATGGCAAAACATTGAAAAAATATTCATTCCATGTAGACATATTTTAGACGTTCCAGTAGTGATTGGACGAGCATGTTTCTTTTGTTTGTACAACACATTGTAATTAATAAAAAGCTAGTCAATACTCAAAAGTGAATCATGGGAAATTGCTCTCCTGGATTTTGGCCATATCAACCAGGTCCATATTTATTCATTGACACTGCCTACATGAATCAAAAAACCCAAAGCTTAAATTTTCCACTATTGCTAATAAACTGTTTACCTGTCTTAGGATCAATGGAGAAATATGGTTGCCCCTGAAGAATGCTGTAAACCACTCTAGCACTGTTTCCATAAGTGGGATCATCAGCATCTGTCGCTTTTACTTGAAGCACATATGCTCCTGCAAAGAAACACAGGTAATCAAATTTTTGTCATAGAGCAGTGATCAGCTATATGTCAGACACATTAGACCAGTTGCTCATGGATTCTTTTGCAATTCTTGTTCCACTGGAAAAAAGGTGAGAATAAAACTATTAGTTCTTCAGGTCCATGCTAGCAGGCATCTAGGTAATAACTAAGGCATAAAGGGGAAGAAAGGGAAAGGTATGCACCATCAGAAGATACTTATAAATAGTTTATGATTTTTTGCAAAAATCATAAACTATTTTTTTTGCAAAAACCTTTTACATAAAACATACAGAATGGAGGTTTGGGAAAACTCAATATTAAATTTTGAAAAAGGATTATACCCCACAGCTTTGTGAAAAAGTAGACAACCATGAAAGCAAAATATGGGAGTTGCCTTTAAAACAAGTGTTTGGTCAATCAACTCCTGAATCTTCAGTAAGATCAAGTGAACCAAGCTCTAAGTACATTAAAGAACTGCACTGCAGACTCCTAAAGTTGGAATTCATATTCTTACTGTAGAATGAAATTAGGTGTTTAGTTCAGGTAGTTGTCTTTAAAATCCAGGCTTGAGTACCCTTGCCCTTCCAATACAGTTCAGTAAGAATTAGAAATACTGTGGAGAAAGTATTCCTTGTCACTTGGTTTTCAGCCATAACTATAACCAGACCTAGTGCAGTTTTCTTTACATTACAACTTAAAATGGACCAATGGAGCAAAAGAAATGCACATGAAAGCAGAAAATTCATTGCAAATGGAGAAAGTCCACAGAAATATCTTGTTCCTCCCGCAGTTTGTTAATCTGTTTACTTGCATTTCCTCACTGCCCCATAATTAAAATAGTTTTCAAACTATACTGCAGCAAAAATACCTGCCACATTGTTAGGCTTTCCCATCAGCCTTGAAGAATTTTTTCCTATGACCTTCTGTGCAATTCAATGTTGGAATTTGCATTGTTGATTTGGAATGAAGATTGCCTACATGAGAAACAGCACAGTGATGTGTGTAATCTCCACCATTCCTGTTTTAAGCAGCATTGTGCATTTGGAGGTCATTGGACATTTTTCAAGAATATTCATGGAATACTGCAAGACCTTTAAGACTTCTACTTTTCTGCAATGAAAATTGACAAGTTTTAAAAAATATTCAGTATTGGAAATAAACCTTAATGGACTTGTCAAAGTTTTATTCTGGGAGTACCTCACTGAGAGATGTTCCACATGAAAGGTCCTATGACTTTGGCAGGAAAGTAACAGCAAAGGTTAACTGTTTGAAGGACAATTTTTTCAGTGCCCGGCCCATGTAATCTCGTCATACGATAGCAATGACTGACAGTGGTGCTGAGAGGTTTGGTACTAGCATTGTAAAAACACTTGCTGCATGATGGCAGCACAGACTTCTCCTGTTATGGTTTTTTGAGCAATAGAGAATGAAAAGCTATTCCAAGAGACATTCTATCTCCTGAGAAAAACACAAAAACATAAGTGTTATTTGATTAACAATCACTTTTTAAAGTTAATGGGCACATCATGTTCTTAAGCTGACAAGAAATTTCATTAAAATCAACTTCTAAAAGAAAGAAAATATTAGCAAATAATAAGTGAATGAATGAAAATAAATACCACAGCTAAATCCATATCTGTATCTCCTCACTCAAAAATGTGATGATGCAATGTGAAGAAAGCAGACATTGGCCATCAAAGTTCCTGAAAATTCTGTCACCAAATGAGGTGCTTGATGATTCCTGCACATACTGATTATTAGTGTAGATATTCCTAGGTACATGCTCCAGGTAGTCCAACTTTATTATACAAAAGGAAGAAGAAAAGTTGATGTGCAAACTAAGTTTTATTAAGGGAAACATACAGAGTCTGATAAATAGCTGGCACTGAATATGAAAAATATTCCATTTCACATTGACAGCATTTTCAACTGTATTAACCTACCTGTCAGATCTTTTAAACTAACAGATAATATGTAAAGTTTATCTTTTTATGAGAGGCCTGGCATGTTGGTTTGTATTTTTTTAATATGCCTCCAGTCATTTACTTATTGAAATGCATACTTAATGTTCTAAATGGGCTTTCTGAAATTGGTTTCTCATCCTTTCAGTATTATCAAGTATTGCTCTTTGTATCTAACAAGCTTTCTATTTTATTGCAAGGCATGAAACCAATGTATTTTTAAAAGTAGACTCTAAAATCAAGTTATATTTTTCCAGGCAATAATGCAGGGCACTACAGCTGTAAATCTTTAATGTGAAAATGTTATGAGGAAGGATCACATTAACTATACTTCATGACATTTCAATTAAAATATGTACTTACATTACTACATGGAGTAATGAAATAAAAAAAAAGATACAATGTTTCTTTTTAGGGAAATACCTTATATGACAGTCAGCGTTTAAATATATTTTTAATTTTTCATGTGCAAGCAACACACATTTGATGTAAAACATTACAAAATGCAGAAAAAAAGAATGATGTGCTTTAGTTATTTATGTTTTATAAAGAGAAAAAAATAATGTTAAACCATTGACACAGCTCAAGAAATGGTATGGAATTTTAAAGATTGTGTTTTCTTTGAAAAAATACAAGTGGTATTGAAAACTAACATTCTGTAAATCACAGCAAGCATACTCACCTGAATTTTACTCTAAAATTTTACTGCTAAAACTAAAGGACACTCATCAATAAGTGCTAATAGAATGGAGCCTAAGATTTATAACTTGTTGGCAAAACTGACAGAAATAGTACTAATAAAAAAGCCTTGTTGTTTATATCAGAATAACTGTAAGGAACTGTAGGACATCTGAGTTTATACCATAAGAGAAATGTTTATGAAATATTGATTTGACTTCTAGAACAATTACCTTATTTTTTTTTTTTTCGTGCCAGTCCTATTGGTAAAAATGTTATTTTGCCAAAATAAAAAGAATCTTTGAAAGAAGACCAATATTGATGGAATCTTTTCTCATCCAAGGAGTACTACAAAGAAATTTCAAAATATTCTAATAATTGGTTTGAGATTTTTAAATTGCTTATTTTGTCAAAATTTGTTTAAAAAAATATTTTAAAGTTTAGACCCTCCCAAATTTTGAAACAGAATATTTGATTCATTGATTATCTTTCCTGTTTTGGTTTTGTGGTTTTTTTCCTTATAAAAGACTAAAATATTGACCCTTTTTATTATTTCAACATAGAAATATATTTTAACTTCACCAAAATGTAGTTGGGGCGCGATATCTTGCTCTCCGTTGAGCTATTTCTGTCATTCAAAGTAATCAAGCATGAAATGTGAGCTTTTTATGTTTAGTTTGTTGACCTGAAGAGCATGACAAAGAGTACACAAAGCTTGACTGGGACTAGTTAAAATGGTTATTTCATTGTAAAGGAATATGAGAGGATTCAATGCTATGAGAATAACAGAGCAGACTTATTTAAACATGATTCCCGAAAAAAAAATAATGCACAGTCAATAGAATTGCAAAGACAAACTAGAAAGGAGACGTTGATATGTTATGTATTTTCTTGTTAAGAACAGCTTACACTAGGCCTGCAAATCCCATTAAGTTTGGTTACAAATGCCAAAATTCAGTTATGTGGTAGCAGTGCACTGTTTTACACAGGAATTGAGGGTAGCCTGCTTCAAGTCTTTGAAAGGTAAGAGAAGGCTGGATGGGAGCAGTAAGTTTGAAAGGTTAATTGAGAAAGGAAGGGATGCTGAAATTATCATATCACAAGACTTCAAGTTTTCCATAGGCTCTGGCTGGAGCCTCCCTCCACTCCACAGTGATCAGAGGTTCAGTCAAAGCAGGTGACTCAGGCTGTCATCTTGCCAAGCTTTGAATTTCTTCAATAAACAAGACATCACTTCTTTGGTGATACTGTCAAGCAGATTTCTACCTCAACTTTTCTCGTTTGAAATTCAGGGCTCTGATTTTGCCACTTTTCTTGTTCACCTTTTTTCCAGTCTTTTGTTAGTAGGAAATGAGTTTGTGACATTGTGTGTGAATTGTCATGGAATTACTTTTGGTAATGGACTACCAAAGGTAGTTTCATTTACTTCATGGTAAGTAAAGACATGATTTCCTTGTACAGTCAAAAAAACTGTCATCTTGCTGCACAACCTCTCCCCTTCCACATGCATTATGTAGTACTTTTGAAAGAAATTAGATGATTGTGAAAATATTTTTTTATGGGATGGGTGAAGGAGGAGCACAGCTGCTGGCATAGAAACTAACTATTTTGTGCAATGTTCTTTCTAAACAATTCCAAAAATAGCACCATGGCAACCCAAACAGCATCCATCTTCTTATCAGAATCCAAGTAAAAATTGAATCAACACATTTCATAGTTGTGGGTTTGGGGTTTTTTAAGTTTAAGAAAAAAAAGAAGTGAATTTATGGCTCACTGCAGCACTACATTGCAATTCAGATCAGGAGATTACGTGTCTCAATAAATATTCCCCTGACCTTCCACTAGTAGTTTCAGCAAAACTCCGGCACTCAGAGGACACGTGCATTTGTAAAGAGAGATGCTGACATTGCCCTTTTGGGGCTTATCTTCTATAGAAAAATTACCAGTAATAAGTTTTGAATATATACTCCGGACGCTGACTCCCACAAAAGTAATGTGAAAAAGACATATTTTACTTGGAAAAGTCAGTTTCCAGTTTATGTATTCATGGCTGTGCAGCCTCGATAATAGCACAGGCTTGCTGGCTCCATCAATATCTTGAACACTAGACACAATCAGGGAAGCACACTTTATTCCTGTTTTGCATTCCAGACATCACCCTGAACATATATATTTCTCTCAGCTGTCAGAAGTGGCCATGGCCACAAAAGCACTACTGCCATTCCCTTTTGTAATCGATGAAGAATGGCAGCCTTTTGCTAATAGTTTTGCTAAAAGCAGCTGTTGCAAATCTCAGCATTTAGTGCATAATCAAGCATATTTCTAGTATGTCTAGAATAACAGTGAACTTATA